TGTAACCCACATCTGGATTCCATAAGCAGAGTGCACCTGTGTAACCCACATCTGGATTCCATAAGCAGAGTGCACCTGTGTAACCCACATCTGGGCTTCTTCATTTTTTACTGTTGGTTTTCTTCTAGGTTAAAGAAAGAACATTTTAAGGCAAATTTCCCTGGTAAATAACATCCATTTGCTATCTGTTTTTCTTTGTGAAGGTTTTAGCTCAGTATTACATGGCAACAACTGAACGTCACAGGTCTGAAGAGGAGCTTCTGGTCATCTTTAACAAAAAGATCAGTAGGAACCCAACCTTTAAGTTGTTAAAGGACAAAGTCAAGCTTTTGAAATGAACATTTCTGTTTTTAAAAGTTGAATTCATTCTGTCGACTCTTTTTCACATTGTTTATAAAATGTGTAATGAATTATAGCAACTCAAACTGTGTTTTCCAGAGCCATTATTTTTAAGTTAAGGAAAAATTATATTTTTGGTAGAACTTTTATGAAAAAATAAAATATATTCTTGTCCAAAATTCTGAATTCGTGGTGGCAAAAATTATTGTACTTTAAAACATAACTTTCATATGTGGAAAATGTTTTTAAAATGCAGTGCAGTGGCAAGTCAAAAAATCATTCCTCTGTCTGCTGGGTGCAGTGGGTCACACCCACAGTCCAGCACTTTGGTAGGCTGAGGTGAGAAGGGGTTGAGACCTGGGTACCATAGTGAGAACCCGGACATGATGGCATGTACCTGTTGCCCCAGCTACTAGGGAGGCTGGTTCAGGACCAGCACTTGAGCCCAGTGGTAGGTGATAAGGCGAGATCCTGTTTTGTTTTCATTTTTTTTAAGTAATTTCTCTTTTGATCAGACTAGAAAGTATTTATTTTAACCACATCATTTCTACACATTCTTGATTAGTGGTTTCTTACACGTTTGCTCTTGTGTTGTTGAAGCATGCATGCAAGTTGTAGCATTCGGTCCAGGAATGGTCACGATGACAGTCTTTTGTACGTGCTGATCCTGCGTAAGCCAGAAGCGGCACTCTTTAGAGAAAGTTTCTCTGTTCCTTTCTACCTTCAGCCAGAGGCAGATGTGTCAAGAACTGAATTTAGGAGTGTGGTCTGTGACTAGAAACAAAAGGCAAAGGGCATCTCATTTGAGATGGAGCCTGTTACCCAGCGTTGCTACTGCTGCCAGGCACGGTCTGCTCTGAGATGTTCTCAGAGAGCCTGTATGCCTCTGTCTGGTAGTTGAGTAGGTTTTGCCCACAAATCCCTTAAAAGCTGGTAAGCATCTCTGGTAATAACCAACCACCATCCTACAGATGAAAGCAAGACAGGGATGCAGAACAAGGGTTAGGTGAAGTGAGGAAGGGGGACGGAGACCGTGTCTGAGCCCTGAGTGTCTGGTGAACCTCAGGAGCCCACTCTCACCAGCCAAGCAGCCCCGGTGCTCAGTTCTGGGTTGGGGATTGGTCATGCAGGGGATTGAGGGGCACCAACTGTTGTACTGTACACACTGGGCTAGAGGTCAGGTCCGGCTTTTGCTCCTTATCCACTAACCTCTCCAGTTGTCTCTTTCCTCATCTGGGCTGTAGGGACGGGAGAGGGTCGCGTGTGAATGAACTAACTAGTTCCTGTGAAGTACGCAGAACTGGACCTAAAACCCTGAAGATCCTCTTTCAGTGCTGCTGCCCCTATTGTTAGCTTGTCATAACCACCTTTGAGCCATGAGAAGCTTTGGACATTGTAGAAAGCAGTGGAAAAGTGGGAAAGTAAAAGCTTGACCCAGGCCACATCCCTAATCAGGGACAGAACCAGAATGCAGCTGTGACTGCTGTGTCCAGATGCCTGCCATGCCATCTCCCAGGGATCCGAGGTGTGCTCCACCACCGACCAGGGCGTGTTGGGGAGACACAGAGGCACCCAGCAGAGTCTCAGGGACGTACAAGTGCCACAGTAGTTAAATTGTGATTTGTTTTTCTACCAGAATTGCCTATGTTGGTTTCACCGTGGTAACTTTAAGGCAAAGTGTGCCAAAAGAGACGTGACTAAAAGGTGTACCTAGCACTGTGGGAGGGTCCTCGTTTCTGCCATCCTTGCAGGCAATTACCCAGGGTTCTCAAGAGTCAGAACTTCTGGACAGCCAAGTGCCAAAATGGGGCTGGTGTTGCTCAGGAATCTCAGCAGGGCGTCCACCTGTCTGGGGCTGAGGAGGTGGCCTCTCAGCTCCCTCAGACTCGCCAGCAGTGGTGTCTAATGGTCCATGATGTGGAAGGGTCTCCTCGGATACTGCAGTTGGTGGCCCGAAGGGCTAACTGTGTGTGCAGCTGCCCTGGGGGGTCATTGCCCAGCTGCCCTGGGGTCCTCACTCAGACCACCCTTGTCGGTTTTGGCAGTTGTCTACCTGACTGGAACTCTTAAACATACATGATATTGAAGCTCTGGGGATTTAAGGAACCAATGTGATGCTACTCATGTAAGGCTCTGTGCTTTCCTTGTGTCTTAAGTGGAGTAAAAAGGTTGAATCCCACCATGTTCTGCCTGTCCTCAGGCTGGTTCTGGGGTCTGGCACACAGGTGTCCCCAGACCTGCCAAAGATGCATTCCGATACACTGTTTGCCCTGATGCCTCATTTTCCAGCATTTGTTAAACCATATGATGCTGCTTAAAAAGCAGGATTTGAGAGAAGATGGCCTGCTCTGCCCACCTCCAGGAGCCTGAGAAGTGTGACCGGTGCGCTGGGCACAGTAGGTACTTTGTGTTCCTTGGAGGAAACTGACAGTGAGTGAGAGGCCAGGGGCTGAGCCAGGCTGCCTTTCCCTCCCTGCCCTACTACACAGCAGGCTCAGGCCGAGTCACAGGTCAGGAGAACAGAGCAACATTTATATGGAGAAAGCTAAAAATTGCAAAGTCACTCATTTTCCCTTGGTGGGGTAAGATCCCCTATTGAGAAACTAAGGCTGTTCTGACCCTCCTCACAGGGTGTCTAGGAGCGGCTAGGAGAGCAGTGAAAGTCAGAGGCTGGGCACAGTGGCTCACGCCTATAATCCCAGCACTCTGGGAGGCCAAGGCCGGTGGATCGCCTGAGTCTGATTGTTTGAGGTTGTAGTGAGCCTCAGCACTCTACCCAGGGCAACAAAGTAAGACTCATGTCTTAAAATAATAATAATAGGCTCGGCGCCTGTGGCTCAAGTGGCTAAGGCGCCAGCCACATACACCTAAGGTGGCGGGTTTGAATCCCCAGCCCGGGCCCGCCAAACAACAATGATGGCTGCAACCAAAAAATAGCCGGGTGTTGTGGTGGGCGCCTGTAGTCCCAGCTACTTGGGAGGCTGAGGCAGGAGACTCGCTTGAGCCCAGGAGTTGGAGGTTGCTGTGAGCGAGATGCCATGGCACTCTACCCAGGGGGGATAGCTTGAGGCTCTGTCTCAAATAATAATAATAATAATAATAAAATTAACAACCAGCATTTTTGTAGGTCTGCAGATTTGTGTGAGTCTGGAAAGCTCTCACATCCTTCTAAGCCTCTCATTTTTCTTTCAAAGTTAAAACAAGCCGATCAGGTCCTATTAAATAGTTTACTCTGGTAGTCTCACCAATTTCTAATTCCCTTTCTTTTTCCAGAATAGATAACTAGGAATGAAAAAAGAAGCAGTTTTTGGAGTAAGATTGCTATCTTTGAGACAGCACTTTTGCCCTTGAACAAGGAAGATTTTAAGAGATCAGTGGTTTTGTACAATTTGTCTCCATTAATGAATGCTGTGAGAGTCTATCTTGGGTCTTTATTCCACCACTGAAAGCTGATCTCCCTAGCTGAGGTTACTCTTTTTTGTCTCAATGATGAACCTTGTTGACTTAAATGTGGCTATGGAACCATGACACCGTAGTGCTTTTAAAATTGTTACTCCTTGCTTTGGGGAAGGAAATTGGAGATAAGTTATTATCTTTGTCTCATTTAAAAGAAAGGCATGTTCTATATCTTTACCAGTACTTTGTGGTTGATCTCAAATTATACTCAGCCTTTCTTTATTCCTTCTTCGAATTAAGCTTTCAAAAATGGCTAAAATAGGCCTTCTAAATTTCTCTGCTTAGAAAGCCAAGGAGTACATAGTATGTCTTCCATTTACTAGGTACAGAAAGTGTTACTTTACAGTGATTCTTGAATCATACATGGGCAAGCAGTTGTATAGTTAATCCCTGTTCTCCTTCCAGTAAACTGGATTTTAGTAAAAGAGTTGGTACACAGGCGAAATCTCACACCTGTACTGATAAAAATGTAGTAGAATTCCACGTTAAGGAGACCTTGTTGGGAAGCCGCCTTCGTACGTGGAGTTTTGCTTTTCCCACAGACGTACTGACACCTGAATCCCCTGTCTTAAATATGTCTGTGGGGAAAGCAAAGCTGCCTGCCATTCTGTACTGAGCCTCTTGGCCCTGAAAGCCTTCTAAATCCCAGGGACTAATCCAGTCATACCGATTGCCTACCCTGGGCCAGCTCCATGCTGGGTGCCGTGTCACCAAGGTCTTCAGGGAGGGGGACAACATTGGGGCAAACACAGGCAAAGGTCATGAGGATGTGCTGGGCTTAACGTGGGCCCAGGAGGGACAGGGTAGTTCTGCCTGGGGTGAGGATGGAGGGCACTAGGTTACTAAAGGGCTCTGCGATTGATTCTTGAAAGGTAGGTGGTTAGTTATTCCCTACTTCACATGTGAAGTCATCTTTTTCACATTCACACCACTTCACCTCCTCTGGCCCAGACTCCTAGCCATGTGGGCAGAAGATGAGGGGATATGTATGTACTAAGCAGGGGCCAAGTGCCAGAATTAGACTTGAGGTTGAACCTGACCTTTCCTTCTTTTAATAACTAGCCTCCCAAGGGCCTCTGCTTAAGCAGGTTATTTAGCTTCTCTGACCCTCAGGGTTTTTCCTTTTATACTGAATTCCTCGAGTAGAGTGAAATTGAAATATGGCACACAAAGTGCCTGGCACACAGCATCTGAAGACATTGCTCTTAAAGTGCAGGAAACGCACTGCAGATGGCAGTGTCTACCACTGGGCCAAGGATGAGGCTCTGGAAGACTTGTTTTTTCCTGCACTGAGCTCTAAATGACCAGGCTGCAGTAAAGAAGAACCAGCATGGTCACACCATGCAGTATGGTGACTGCTTAGATGAGGAAGTCAGCTTCAACTGGAGGTCACACTCTAGCTCACAGTTAACATGGAACCATGCTTCAGGACAAAGACACAGTCCCACAGCTGCCAGACCAGCCTCTGTACACATCATATTCCAGTGTGAATGTTCTATTGCAGTCTGGCACACACACTGAAACAGGAAAACCTAAGTACTGATCAATGAGTTCTGCAAAGTGCACATACCTGTGTCACTAAGTCAAACAAATAGATTTTTTTTTTTTTGAGACCGAGTCTTTGTCACCTTCAGTAGAGTGCTGTAATGTCACAGCTCATAGCAACCTCAAATCAAACTTTTGGGCTCAAGACATCTTCTTGCCTCACCCTCTCAAGTAGCTGGGAT